CTGAGGGAAGGGATGTCCATCTATATCCAGGGGACCATTCCTAAGCACATCACCAGGTGAGTAGAAGACATAAACTTGTGACACTGTACACTTTGCAAGAAATTTATTATAGTTAATAGCTGTTAAATATATTTTGTCCATTCTCAAGGTGGTTATCATTAGTTATAAGGGGCTGGACAGCGTCAACACGTTAACGTGCTAACCGCGCTAATGCGGTGAAACCATCCAGCCCCAGGCACGGGCGATCCGCGGTAACTCGTTAACGGAGATTTAATGCAGTTATGAAGTGAACATCATTTTAACGAGATTAACGCTGACAGCATTAATTTTATTATTTTTTCTTTCTTTCTTTCTTTTCATTGGCAGGTTTTTTATCAACCTGATTTGCGGAGAATATGAATCCAGCGACATTGCCCTACACTTCAACCCTCGATTTGATGGCTGGGACAAGGTGGTCTTCAACACCTGTCAGAATGGATCCTGGGGATTAGAGGAGAAGATTCACAGGATGCCTTTTCGAAAAGGAGAGCATTTTGAAATGGTCGTCATTGTTAATTTTCAGGGCTATCAGGTCAGGTAAAACTGTTGTACAGACAATGCAAACCATTTCTCGTTTACTTTATCCTGTAAGTAAAGACTCAATAAATGGTTTATACTCACTATAATATAATTATAAGGTATTAGTTATAGTCAGTCAGTTATATTATTACCACTTATGCTTCTTTTACTTCTGTATTGATTTAATGCAACACCAATATGAGATTATTATTGTTGCAGATTAAAGTAAATGGGATTGATTTCCATACTTTTCAACACCGCATTCCTATGGAGCAAGTTCGTGGGCTGCAGATTGCAGGAGATGTTTCCATCCAGATGATTAATTTTATTGGGGTGAGTCCTCAGCTCCGTGAATCTTCCGCATTGATGCTTCGGGCTTTGCTGGGGAAAATAAATTAAGCCAAAATTACCAAAAGCTTACATTTAACAAGTCTGGCAGCTGTTGGCTAACGATTTCTGCTTATGTGCCCATGTAACTGGTTTCTGCTTCACCCCGCTGCAACAGTTCGGCCCAAACAGACTCCTCGACTCTGCGTTGTGTTTTTAAGAAGACAAAGAGTCTCTGATCGATCATTGCCGCTTTATTTCCTGAATGGAAACAACAGTGTTGTATCAGTGCAAAGGGCTCGCCACACACCGCTCCGCACAGCACACTACGGCAGAACATCCCATTAGCATTCCGCTTTAGCATACAGTTTTACACAATAATAAACAAATGAAAAGTACATAAAACTGGTGTTGGACATGTGTCCACTAAGCACTTATTACACTCGGTGCCCATCAGTTAATCAAACATGTTTTGTGTGTCTGTACTACTTAGCTACATTGTGTGCGAAACAATACAACTCATCTCTCGTATGGCTACGGCAGAC